TTTATACTAATAATCTAGATCCCTTTAGTTATATTCTATTTAAGTTATCTAAGATAATTAATAAAGTCTTCTCTAATAATAATAATTACTAGAAAGTTAAGTATATTCTAAAGTTTTATATTATTTATTATAGTTAATATTATATTCTAGTTCTTTAATATCTTATCTATTAGTATAGATATAATTCTAAAGATAATATATAGATTTACTTATCTAATATTAATATTCTAGATCTTATATATACTTTTAAATATCTTAAATAATTACTATATTAATATATTTATCTATTCTTCTATTTATCTATCTATCTTACTCTATTAGAATATATTATCTTATATATTTAGTAATAAGCTATTTAATTATTCTTTTATTTATACTACTAGTATTATATATATATAATAATAGAGATATCTATCTTAAAGTATAGTATATATAATATTAGGATTATCTATAATAATATTCTACTATTTATTCTGACTCTCGACCTCCCAGACTGCTTGTATGGGAGAACTTCCTGCAGTTGATTCCTTCCGTCTTGCCATCATCAATATCAAGAATAAACATGATGATCCTCTTGTCGATGACGTTAATAGAAGAATAATTAATCTTTTCTAGTTAGATTTAGAAGAGATTATATAATAATTGAGAATCTAAAAATAAACTTTTAATAGAAGTTTATAAATTCTAGAAAATTCTATATTATTTTAATTAACTTAAAGCTCTTTTAAAAAGTAATTATTTTAATCCTTTTAAAATTTATCTTAACTTCTTCTTCTACTTATATAATAAATCTAAAATAAAGAGTTTTCTTCTATGTAAATTTATATCTACCAATATTAAGAAATAGTTCTATTTTATTTAGTTTTTATAATATCTTTTATATATATTTATAGTACTTCTTAATATCTCTATTTATATAAATTTGTATATTATTAATATAAATTAAATAGAACTTATTAAAATATTTATATAATATCTAGTTAATATATTTTTAAAAGATACTTCAGATATTTATTAATTTAAAGAAGATTATTACTTATTTCAATAATCTATAATTTATATAAAAGACTATTATCTATTCTTAACTTTTTATAATATAGATTTTATAAAAAATAGATAATATATTTAGTTTAGTAAATTATTTTATTTTTCTAATATAATCTAGTATTCTCTAAATTAAAAATAGTAGATAGTAGTTCTTCTTTATAATTATATTAAATATCTAATAATTTATATAAAATCTTAGTTCTTTTTTTAGTTTTTATATAAATAATATTAGAACTACTATTAATAAGTAGCTAATCTATATAAAGTTCTTCTCTAGTAGTTTAGTTAGCTTAGACTATAGAACTATTAACTCTTTCCACGATATATTATAGAAAGAATTCTATAGTATCTCAAATTTCTTTCTATTCTATTATATAACTTTAATTTTATAGTTCATACACTTTTCTTTATATAAAAATAGTTTTTCTATATTCTTTAATTAGAAGAGAGATAAGAAGACTTTATAATATTCTAGAAATATTATATAAGAGTTAATCTCTTAATCTAGATATCTTTTAGATATCTACTAGTAAAATTATAAATATTTTTATATTCTTTTTAAATCTTCTTTATAAATAATCTCTAAATTCTATTTTTATAATTATTTAGTCTCTTAGTTTTAGATATTATAAATATAGTAGATCTCTTAATCTTATCTTTATTATATATAAAAATAGTCTTTCTTAATCTAATTCTAGAATTTTATTATAATAAAATAGCTAGCTTTTTCTTAGAATTAAGTTATATTTAAGATTATTAAATATTATATAGAAGTATACTCTTTTCTTTATATAAGATTTAGTATTTATTCTTACTTATATAATTAAGTAAATTAGTACTTTATTATTAGAGATCTCTTTTATTAGTCTTAGACTAATACTAGTAATTAATAAATTATTTACTTAGATAAATATTTTATTCATAATACTATAAATTAGATATTCTAAGTTAATAAATATATAAATAATTATTATAAAATTTAGAATTACTTTTATTAAAAAAAGATATATAATAATATATTTCTTTTCAAAATTTTTCTAATTTCTTTTAGTTTTATTTAGTAATTCTTATCTAGATATATAATTTTATACTAGACTTCTTCTTTTTCTAAGTCTAAGTTCTTATTTAAAATATATTATTATTTCTATTTGTAAAATATAGATATAATAGCTATTATACTTATTAATTATATAATAGACTTAAGAAAGTACTAATAGATAAGATATCTATTCTATTTATAATAAAGATAATATTCTACTTTATATCTTTTCTATATTTTACTAGATATTATTTATTAGACTTATTTCTAATAACTATTACTAATTATATAAAAGTTATATTTTCTTATTATATAATAGTTATCTAGATAGATTTCTATTCTATTAGTTTAGAACTTAGTTTCTAGTATATTAATATAGTCTTAGTGTAATCTTCTTTGAAAAGAAAAAATATTCTATTTAGATTATAGTTTATATAATATAATTAATTATAATAATCTTTATATATAGATTCTTAAAAAATTCTAACTAATCTCTTAATAAGTCTTTAATTTATAGTAGTATCTAGTATAGTCTTTTTTTACTTATTTAATTAATTATATTCTTCTACTTATAGTAGAATTTTATTAAAGTTATTTAGAAATTCTTCTAATTCTATTTTTTCTTATTTTATTATATTTACTCTATTAAGAGCTTTTTATTATATATTAGAGTTTTTAAAGACTTTATTTATTATTAATATTAGATCTTTAAATTATGTTATCTTAATATTCTAGAATTTAATCTAAGAAAATATTTATTATACTACTTATTTATATAATTAATTATAGATATAGAAGACTTATTCTAGTCTAGTAGAGTAATAATTTCTATTAATTATAAGTTTTATATATATATTTAATCTAAATAGTTTATAATTATACTTATCTTCTCTATTAAATTATTCTATATTAAAATGTTAAGAGTAAAGTCTAAAATATGATTTATATAATTATAATAAGAAGTTCTTTTTTTATTTATTATTAATAGTAGAAGTTATACTATAATTTTATAACTTATTTATTTATTCTTTAGAGACTAGTTTCTATTTTATTATTTCTATATAGAGATTAACTAACTTCTATAGAAGAAGTTATATATTATTAAGTATAGATATAAATACTATAATTAATTTTAGTTCTTCTAAATCTATTTATTCTATTGTTTTAGTAATTTCTTTTTATATTCTTATTTTATTATATTAGAATTTCTAAAGACTTTATTTATTAATAATATTAGATTCTCAAGTTGTACTACCTTAGTATTCTAGAATTTAATTTTAGAGAGTATTTATTATACAACTTATTTATATAATTAGCTATAGATATAGAAGACTTATTCTAGTCTAATAATATAATAACTTCTATTAATTATAAATTTGATATATATATTTACTTCAAATAATTTATGATTATACTTATCTTTTCTATTAAATAGTTCTATATTGGAATATTAAGAGTAAGGTCTAAAGTATAATTCATATAGTTATAATAGAAGATTCTTTTCTTATTTATTGTATTAATAGTAGAAATTATATTATAGCTCTATAATTTATTTATTTATTCTTCAAACACTAGTTTCTTTTTTACTATTTCTATATAGAGACTAATTAGCTTTTATAGAAGAAGATATATATTATTAAGTATAGATATAGATACTATAATTAATTGTAGTTCTTCTAGATCTATTTATTCCATTATTCTAGTAATTTTATTCTATATTCTTACTCTATTTATATATCTAGTTAGACTTTATCTAGAGCTTTTAAAGAGTTACTTCTAATATTATAGAATAAGTAGATTATACTAAGTAGAATATATCCTTAAATAAAAAGAAATAGCTAAAAAGCTATTTTATTAGTTTATGTAAAATTCTTTTGGATATGTATGCTAAGCTAGTACTAGTTTAGTGTATAGTATGCAAGGCCTCAGGTACCAACTGGTGCCTGAAGCTGAGCTTCATATCAGGGCCTTGGTCCAATAACATATATGCCGCATAAGGGTTAGTCTTGAGAATAAGGACTGCTATTATTCTATATCTAACTGATCAACTTTATCTTTAACACTAGCCCCCCCCTAAATATCTATGAACCATACTAACCAGAACATATATAGAACCTTTATTACAAATTCTGTAAGCACACAAGTGCGAGCAGACTAAGAAATAAGCCTGATTAGGAGATATATAATAGATATGTAGAACAAGCTCTATGCCCTATTTCAATACACCGAGCGAAGTGAGGGTACCCAGGCTTGTATAAAAGTATATATATATAGAGTAAACTCTATAGCCTAATCCTAGACACCGAATGAAGCGAGGATAGCCAGGCTTGTTAGAATATATTTAAATACTGGTATATTATAGAAGTAGGGATACTCTAAAGACTTTTAAAATATTATATTTATAATACTTTTTTTGTAGAAATATATACTTCAGATACAATAAAAACACTGTATTATCAAATATTATAGTCTTCTAACATATATACACTGCAACTGTTTTTTAACCATTTTGCAACCATATGCCCAACTCACCGCCAGCCGACAAGGTACTATTAGGCGGGGTAATTAGAACCGCCAGGGAAACTGCCTCTAAAAGTAGCCAATCATAATCCGTCGTCCGCGATCAGGCCATCACAGAGTTGCTGCGGGCAAAGCTAGCGCTTTACAAAACAGCTTAAGCGTATCACCATGTCACTCACGTGATCACACCAGGCACATGTTGATCAATTCCTGTGCATGCTCATTTTGTAATTATTCTTAGTATTTCATTTGCAAAAATAGCATTGCTTGGCCTCACGGTACTGGATCATAATGTCCACATGCCTGCCTGTCTATGTACATGGACCAGCTCTATGTATGGGTTGCTAAACTCATGAATCCTGAGAAATATGCCCCAATTCTTCTCCATACCATACTCTGCCTGCCGAGTAGGACACAGAGGGTATCATGTCCACCACCATCTGCAGCCCCGTGTGACTCACGGAAAACCATGCTCTAGCAAGTATCCCGCAGAAGCAACATTCCGTACGGCACTTTTTTTCCCTGGTTTGGTACCCATGCTCTTTTGTTCTGGCCCAGCTTCTGACCATTTCTGCTCACAGGCCATGGAGTCCAGCGTGTGGGAATGGCCGACTCCTGGGTTCAGATGTTTCCAGGGATATCCAAGCAAGTCATGGGCGAGGTAGATTCGACATTGGGCTATCGATTATCACACGTCATATCCCATGGTCCCAACTCAGAGCTCAATAAGACCGAAAACTCACAGCCCGCAATAATGACTACATCGCTGTTGATATTCCGTATTCTTGAACATGAGCTTGGCTTCGACGCAAAAAAGTTTATAGACTTTACACTTGGCCATAGCTTGGGGGAGTTTACTGCCCTAGTTGTCGGGGACTACCTTGATTTTAGCGATGCGCTAAGGCTGGTCAGACGCCGGGCAGAGATCATGTCTCAATGCACGCAGGCAGCTTCGACACGAACAGGAGAAGAATTTGGAATGATGGCTCTTGTGTGTGAGCCCGACCATTTTCCGAAGTTGCTTCAAACCATTCATGACTTTCTCGAGCTTGCGGAGCCGGAATTAAAAGACGACACTAATCACGCGGCCTCGGCGTTTCAGAATGTCATGATTGCAAACATAAATTCTAAAAACCAAATCGTACTCAGCGGCAGCATTGCGAAAATCAAGACTCTGCTCGTCCAGCTCCGTCAGTTTGGTGGGCATGATCCTCGCGCGGTGAGGTTAAGATGCGAGAGCCCATTTCACAATCCAATAATGGCACCGGCTGCTGAATACATGCGGCATGCTCTTGAGGATATTGACATCAGATTTCCCGCACGTATGCAAGTTGTATCGAATGTTTCAGGTCTGCCGATCGAGTCGAGAGAGGAATTGAAGACTCTCCTCTCCCGACAATGCGTTGAAACAGTGAGATGGTGGGATAGCATTCGATACCTAGATCAAGATCGTGGTGTGACCCGTTGGATAGGTATAGGGCCGGGGAAAGTGGGCAGGAACCTGGTTGGCAAGGAAGTAGACAAAAACATGGTCAAAGGAGGCGGCGTCTGGTCCATTTCCGATCCTAGAGAACTCGATACTATATTGTGTAACCTGGCAAGATCGCAATTTGACTAAGTTGGTGTGACAGTTGATGCTTTGTGTACAAGCACATAAAACCTTTTACTGGGAGTCTAGCTCCAGTATGCCTCCGGCCATGTACGACAGACCCGCCTGCCCTTCCACTGGTAGGCTATGAACTGATATGGGGCTTGATCTGCCTGTGATTTGAAATAGAAAGGCCACCGTTTCTGAAGCACTTCAGAAGCAGGTAACTGGCGAAACGCGCGTGCCAGAAAGCTCCAGTCGAGGCTCGGTCTTGGTTCGTTCTTGCTCTAATGGAGACGCAGCAGCACTTGCTGAATTAACAGCTTAATGGACTATGCTACTTGATTTGAAGTGACTAACCACAACGACCATTGTCTAGCTACAAGGCACTTGGCTCCTAATTGGGAGACGTATACGGTGTCCATAATTCACCGATTCGGATAACCTCTTTGACGAATTTCTTATCTGCGACTTGAGGAAGGCTCGCTGATCGGGCAGAAGGCTTGATAAGATCAGAGGGTTCGCCCGGGGTATAGAACGGATTTTGCAACAGTTGAACGTAGGCATCTTGTAAAGAACGAAAAACCTATCAAAGTGGGTAGTGAGTGTTGGATGTTCCTGCTTGGAAAGGTCGCGTTTTCATATAAAGCATACCGTTCTAAGTTCAGGGTCTTTCAGGATAGTCTTTGGAGCGGCCCCGGGCGTCCCTGGACTATTGGTTTGACCAACCAAGTCGACTATGACAAGCAATTTTACTCCTGTTGTGGTGAGCCACCCATACGCCGCCAACCGTTCATCCACGGCGTGCAGAAGGCCGAGATCCTGGTCAATGGACGTTTGCTTGCGCCTTATTTCAATGATATCCAAACACGAGTTCACTAGAAATGAAAAATCGATCGTCGAATTGAGATATGGGGGCAACAAGGCTACATGTATGGGCTTATCCTAAGCCGCATTAGCATCGAGCTTGCTGGAGGTGCAATGGACATACGGCTTTCCCAATGACACCAATGCACGCGATTTTAGGCATTATCATAATAGACCCCGACTTTCACGTCGCAGGTATTGTGAGGGAAACTTAGTTATCTCAAGCTTGGTTTCTGCAAAAACCCAGGAAGTTTAATTCATTGCAGAAACGCTATCTGTTAGTCAGCCCTCTTAGTAACTTACAGCTCTATATCAGTGTAGATGTAAAACACATGCCTAAATCGAGGTACTGGGTAAGACTTCGAACAATGTACAATAACTGGTAGAAGGGAAGTCACACAATGCGATCCAGTAGGCATGTACACAGGTGAGTACTCGAATTACCCCTGTTAGACGATAAAGGATCAAGGCGGTTTACTAATTAATCAAACACGGGCTAATGCAATCCACAGGCGAATGGGCTGCACAAGCAAGTGGGCCGGCCTTGGATTGCATATAAACAATCTATTTTCCAACTATTAAAACTTAGTAATTTAAGCTCTAATATCCCAAGAACTTTTAATTTAGCTTAGAACTTTAACTCTAAACTATCTATTTAAATTTAGAGCTTTATAATATCTTTATTTACTAAGATAAAATAAAATATACTATATAATTAGAAATTAAAGATAATATTTATACAAGGTGAAAAGAAGGCTATTTTACATGCAATACAAGGCCGGCCCACTCGCTTGTGCAGCCCATTCGCATGTGGATTACATTAAAGCAGCTAACTACGGAGTAATATGTCTATATAGTCCCCTGCAATAAATATTCATAAGTTCTGGTTTCAGCCCAACCGCACCAATTTGCCACTCACTACAAATCTGTATATAATAGTAACACCTATATATCATATATAAGGTACCAAAATTTACTTATTTATTTAGAAACAAGATAAAGCTATCATATTGTCAAAGTTGTTGGTAGGGAGACATTCCTTATATCATTATGAAGTTGTTGATTCTTTTAGGATCCTGAGACAGGATGAACTAACTAGGATCCTACTCCAAAGTAGAGTATTATAGCAGAACTGACTTGTCATCTTCTACTATTATGTATAGTAGTCTTTTACTGTGATGTTCGGATCGTCTATGACGATATTCTGCTGTTCGTCCCGACTCTCTACCTTCTAGACTATCTGTGTGGAAGAACTTTCTTGTGATAGAACAACTACTATCAGGAGTAAGGTCATCGGGATGACATACTATAGTGGTTATGGGAGTTGTGAGGTCATCAATAGCAAACCTATACCTTCCCAACATCTATAAGGTACTAATTTCTCTATAAAAGACTACTGATTTCTTGATAATTAGTCTATTTTATAGATATAGACTATCTTTATTACTATTAGATAAATCTATAGTATTTAGTAGCTAATTTCTTATCTAGTTAATAGACTTTCTATTCTAATAAGTAGATTTTATTATATTATAATTCTTTTTTTTAATCACCTAAGAAAGATACTACTATATTGTATAAAAAAGAATAAAAGATAATTAGTAATTAAATTAATATAAAATTATTATTAAATATTATTTCTCCTATTAAAGAGATTTAATAACTTAAAAACTATATATATTAATTAAAATAGATTAATAATCTATAATAAAGAATAATTTATCTTTAAAAAAATTATTTTCTTAGTAAACTCTTATTAAGATACTACTAATTATTTTCTAAGTTAAATAAAGATAAGAAGAAGATTAAGTTTACTAATATTTTTTATTTTATATTAAACTTTATAAGAAAAAAAAGAAGAACAAGAATAAAAATAAGAATAAACTTATAGTCTAAGAACTAGATCTTTAGACTACATATCTAGACTAGCTATCTATATAATTAATGAATTTTCTATTCCTTAGCTAATTAATATATAAATACTAGTAAATAAATTATTAAAGCAATTCCTAGTCTAATATATATATAAATAGATTAGCTAATAGATTTTCTAAGTACTTTAATAGCTAATAATATATTTAATTATAGAACTATTAAAAAATTCTTTTATATATAATATTCTTAGTAGTAGTTATATTTAGTTAATAGAAAATAGTCAGCCTGACTATATCTATTATATAAGAAAGTATTATATATAATTATCTATAACAGAATAGTAAAAAATAAAAATTTATAGTTATAATCTGTAGAAACTAGCTCTAGATATAATTAACTATTCCTATAAAGTAAGAATAGACCAGAAACTATCTATAAATAAAAATAAATAAAAGTTTATTCTTATTTAAATATAAAATAATCTATAGAATTAACTATTTTAAGTTAATATAATTACTAGTTAATATCTTAGTCTTAATTAGTTATAGTCTTAATATCTATATTAATAGATATATTCTATTATATAAACTACTTAATATATATATATTTCTTAAATAGATAATAAATATATCTAGTTTTAGTTATAAAACTAAGAAAGATAGATTAGACAAGTTAACTATATATAAAAACTTATATATAAACTTCTTAATATTATTACTAATATTATCTATTAAGACTCTATTAACTATATAAATATTAGTTATATAGTCTAATAGCTTATTAAGATAATAATTATTAAATTTATTTAAAAAAATATTATAAATTATAAGAATTATATATTGAGTAAAGAAGTTAATATCTAGATTCTTATAGAAATAGACTATAGAAAAATATACTTATAGAGATCCTTAATATTCTTAGTCTAGTATATAATAGAAGATAGACTAATTCAGCTATAGAGACTATAGTTATATAATATATTAGTTAACTAGATAGTATATACTTTATTTTCTAGTCTTTTCTATAGATAATAGTTCTTATAGAGCTGTAGAATATAGAATAACTATTATAAAAAGAAATATTATAATTAGACTATATTAATATTTAGATAATATTTCTTTTTTATTATAAATAATATTTATATCAAATTACTATTAAAGAAGACTAGAATACTGCTAAATAATTCATTAAAATAATATTTAATATTATTTAATATCTAGTAAATAGTCTTGAAAGTATAGTAGTATTATATAGAAATCTTATTCTAGATAATTAGATCTATATTCTATAGCTTAGCTATAAGATTAGACTTTAGACTAATCAAATAGATAGATATCTTTATTAATTTAAGAGAAATATAGAACTTAGAAAAATTATGTAATTATAAGATAAAAATAAAGCTATTATATTAGATAATACTATATAGATAATCTTTTTATCTAATAAATATAGCTTACTATATATAGTATAGTATAGAAATATTTTTCTAATACTGCTAGTATCTTAAATAAAGTAGTAGACTAATAGATCTTATATAATAGTTATTATAATAGTATTAAAGACTATATATTATAGATTATTTAGCTAATATTCTAATTTCTTAGCTAGAGAAATATAGTTAGCTGATTAATTAACTAATTCCTAATATTTAGTAATACTCTTAGTCTATTTCTACTATTTAGTTAGAAGAGAAAGCTAAAAATTAATAAGTAAATAATTCTCAGCCCTAAATAATCTATCTATAAGAAATAGACTATAGTTAATTTTATAATTAAAAATAGCTAAAGACTTCTATATCTATAAGATCTAGTAGATAAGATTATCTATAAAGAATATCTTAAATTTATTCTATAGTACTAGTAGTTTATCTACTAAACTAAATAATAGAACTATTATAAATAGAGACTATAAGATAGATCTAGATATAAAGACTATTATCTTCTAGAATATTAAATACTACTCTTTATTACTATTAAGTAGACCTAGGGCCTGGTAGACTATCTAGAATATAAAATAAAATATATTATTAATAGTATAGAGGTTCTTAAAGCTAGTAAAGTCTATCTTAATAATTAGAAGAAGCTATAAGTAGAACTACTATTCTATATTAGAACTATAATAATATATTTAATTAATTATAAAGCTCTATTACTATAACTACTATAATTTTATATTCTTTTCTATATTTTAAATAAAGTATTAAGGCATCTCTATATACTAGTAATAGATATATTCAGAATCTAATTAGACTATTTCTATATTATATTTAAAGAAGACTATTAGTATACTATAGAAAGACTCTAGATAGTCTATAATCTACTATATATCTATATTCTTAGGAAATAATATAGTCTACTAGTATAGAAGATAGACTATTAGTACTATAACTAGTAGATACTCTTCATAAATATAGAAGTAGAGAAGATATATAATAGTCTCTATTAAATTAATATAATAACTTTTAAGATACTAATTTATTTTATTACTAGTCTAGAAATATAATATAGTATAGTCTAGGCTCTTATATATATACTTAGTAATATACTTAATTACTTTAATACTCTAGTAGACTTATATATTAATATAATAATACAGCTATAAAAGAAGAAATAGATTATATAATATAATTTATATATTCTTAATTTTAATCTTCTAACTATAACTTATCTTTTTAAAACTGGTTTCAGGCAAGTACTAATAGTAACAGAGAGAATATTTATTCTTTTATAATTGATTGATTGATTGATTGATTGATTGATTGATTGATTGATTGATTCATACACGCATATGTCAGCCCTATAGGCCGAGTGGCGGCAGGTCCCTGTCCTGCGGCTGGGCTGGCCG